TGCAAATCACTGTTCACAGGCTTGCAGTGCTTTTGACCGTCTTTTGGCGAAAAAAACGTGCCAAAAGTGTAAGCGCGGAAAAATGGAAGTCAGAAGCATGCAGATCATATTTATTTTGCGTTAGCATGAAGCTGCAGTTTCACAATACATGAATTACACTTACGAGTAACAGTAAAATGCTGCAAATATTTTTTTCTTGCGCTTGAAACGCGATTTACACCTTTACAAAGCTTCTCTTGCGCATGCAAATTTAATTTACGCTTACAGTCTTATGTACAATTCCACAACTCTTACCCTGCGTATGCAAATCTTTTTGACGTCATTTTACCTTCATAGTATTCGTTCACTACATTCAACAAATCACATGGTCCGTCACATCTCATACTCGAAGGCTATTGGCTCGAGGTTTAGTCATTCTTTGACAGGATGAAACAGTCCACAGAGCTACCCGGTTCACTGATCTGCGCATGCGCTGCCAATAGCGCCGCGCTGATGTGGAGGGAGGAATTTCAGTGAACGAGAAATATGAGTCAACGGATTACGTGAACGAGAACGATTCGTTCACCAAAAAGATTCGTTCAAAAAGAACGATTCGTTCACGAACGTAACAACACTAAGAGGAACCGTAACACCGGCGAGCCAGAACACCCGATTCTCTCTCTGCGGATCCGTTGGACAAAGCGAAGGGTTTTCATGCTCTTGAGACTGCACAGAAACATCACAGGTAAATGATACGTTCATCTGCTGCCGTGAAATAGCGTCCAAACGGCTTTACACGGGCTGTGAATAAGAGGCGGGATGACGTCACCGCCGCCGCTGCTTTCTTTCAGTCCGTAAATGTTTTAACGTGTTGGTTCCGTGTAAATAACCCGTTACCCTATTAATTATACAGTGTTGGGTGAAAGTCAACTACCGTGGGTCCCACTATATTAGACTGAGCACTATACAGCACACAATAAGGTTTGTGTGTGGGCATTGGTGATGTCCTATTCAATATTTTATTATACATGAATATATGAAATAGAATTGGTTTGGTTTCCCTCTGTTCATAATCATTTGATTCTATTATGTTAATTCTGCCATCCTAATATTTATTTGTTTTGTCTGTAGCTTGGTGGAGGTATGACACTAACCAGGGGCTCCTTCACTTATTCCAGAGGAGAAGAATATACCGGAGAATGGAAGGAAGGCAAGATATTTCATAAACACTTTACACTGATTTGAATTCTCAGGACTTTTTTTTATACATTTTCATAAATGTGTTTTATATGCTTTACTTTTATTCATTATTTACATTTGTATTTGTCTAAACAAGTACATTTTTGTATGATATATTTTGTAATTGTTTTGGATTATTCAACACTGTCAGATACAAAAACAATTCTGTCTACTGTATATCTATATATTCTATCTAGGACTGATTTAAAATGATAGAACTGATCTTTTTTATAATTTGGGTAATGGATTTGACATACTATGATTGCTACAGAAAATATCAGCATAATTGTCTTCAGTTGTACTGTATATCTGAAAATGTTGAAACCTTATGAAAAAGGTTTATATCTGTCAGAAGAAATGTTCTCTTATATTAATCTTTCATATTTTAATTAATAAATTAACAGTAATTCGATAATTAATCGAATTCATATTTTATTGATTAAATGTTAAATGGAAAGCTTACAATAGGCTGTTTAATGGCAGGTTCGCATTGTGATAACTTACCCTCATGTAGTGTGACAACGATTTCGGCTATTATTATTTTTTTAGCCAAAACTTTAAGGTATATGTCTTCTTAAAATTGCCCTAGCCAGAGAAATATTCACTAGAGATAAAAGTGTGACAACTAGCCCCAGTCCCACTACATATATTAACATGCTTAAACATAGATTTGTGTTTTTCTGATTACTGTGTGAATTGTGGTCAGGATGGCTTGTGGTGGTGGTACCGCACTGCTTAATGATCCAAACTGTTTATGTAATAAATGCAGGTGTAATCTCAAGTAGGAATGACATTCTAATTATAGTACTAATTATCAGAGCCATTAACACACTAGAGAGCAGTCCATAGAATTAGTCTATTGTGTTCATTTAAGAAGCAGTGTGTTTGCTGTGCAGGTCGGAGGCACGGTAAAGGTGAGCTGAAGTTTGCTGATGGCACCTGTTATAAAGGTCATTTTGAGAATGGCCTGTTCCATGGATCAGGGGTATTAGTCTTTCCCGATGGATCCAGGTGAGTGAGCATGTGATCAGATTCAAAATACTTACCTACTTAAAGGGGTCATATGATGCTATTTTAAAGATCATTATTTTGTGTATTTGGTGTAACAGAATATGTTGACATGCTTTAATGTTCAAAAAACACATTATTTTTCAAATACTGTACATTATTGTAGGTCCTCTATGCCCCG